TTGGCAGACACACACACACACATACCCAAAACAAATCGAAATCGATTCGCATATTTGTTGAAACGAAAAATGAATGTATTTCGTTTTATTTTTCGATAAAATGAGGTTTCAAGAGAGATTGAGAGAGAGAGAAAATTTTCCCAATATTCTTAAATTTATAATTTATTGTTTTGTCGTTTTGAATTCATTCACGATTGTTGAAAAATCATATCATTTTCTCATGACCAAAAAAAAAACACAACAAATCGTGAGATTGAACAAGCAAACGATGCGATATACCAACAACATTTCCAGTTACAAGAGTAGAGTTTTGGTAGAAGTTTAAACGGAAGTACACTTTCCATATGAATCAAATGCGAAAATATTAAGAATAGCGTGTGCATTCTGTGTGTCACGTGATGATTTCGTCGATGAAATTATTAAAGACACAACCGAAACAAAATGAGAAGAGGAAAAAAAACCAGCACACGAAGAAAAGAATGGCAAATTATTCGGCAATAGATCATTTTAAGTGTGCGATTTAACATCGAAAAAGCCACAATATTTTATGTTTATATGTGGCAATTTTCCTTTCACGACCTGTCTTTTCAATGCCTTTCTTTTATAGCGCATCTTCTACAATCCGAATAGAATCACAGAATTAAATTTATTTCAATGAAACCAAACCAAAAGGCTTTCTATAATAAATTATAATGTCTAATATTGAATTGAGCGGCAACACACACAGAGAGACACACAAAAAAAGGTAAACCAAGTAAGAAGAAGATGAAATGGTCAAGTGACAAACTGTATTCTTGGTGAGATGAGGCGAGTTGGGTCAGAGTCAATGACGATTATTCATATTTGTGATGTGTGTGTATGTCGTGAATATCCATGTGCACCATTAGCTGATTCTATGAGAAATGGCGCGTTTCACGACGACACCAAAATGAAATTGATTGCGTGCACTCAATACAAAAAATCTACCACACTAACTTTGAACGAATGTCGTTTCAGCCCATTTTTTATTGAGCTCAAAATGGAATAGGCGCAACCAGACGTACACTCACACATATATATGTCCGTTGTCTCGTGCAAATAAAACTCCAAATAACAACATGAACGAAAAACAAAATTAATAATTTTCTTTGTACCATGCTAATGAGCTGAATTTACCGTTGTAAATTCAATTTCCGATTATTTGTCTCTCTATATGTATGTATGTTGATGTGAGAATCATGTTTAACAAACACCATGTCAACGCCGAACTGTTGTCGGCATTGAGAATATTTTCATCTTGAAACATACATCATGTGAATGTGTGTCTTAAATAGTTAGCGTATATGTTTGTTTCGCTGGTGAATTGGTTCAGTGGGTTCGTTCAAAATAAATCTGTTGACTGCATAAAAACTGAACCAAACTATTGACGCGACGATTATTGTTGAAGATTATCTGCTTGATATAAAACATCACCCATAAAATTACCACAGTGTATTTAATTGGTTTGAAATGAATGAACGTTAAATGCCTTTGTTTCGACTCATCTTAATGTTATGAATGCTACTTTATAAAATTAAAACTAGAATAGATAACGGTATCATCATAAGTTACCTTCAAATTACATAAATTAAAATGTTATCGACGATAATACCGGGGACCAGCGCATTGAGCATACACTCACATCGATCAAAATAAGTACATAATTTGATGAAGATAGATTAAAGAAAGAAACCGAAATGATTGCATTCGGATTGCTGTTTGTGCGGAACAAATACGATCGATTATCGAAAAAATTCAATTACGTGCATATTTGGTGTAAATATATCAATGCATTCATTGTGTTTCGATTTTCAACGGTTGTTTGTTGTTTTCTTCACCGCATCAAAGGCTCGTTGTTTCGTTTTGATTGCATATCACAAAAGTATGAGTACAATTTGTAAACGACTGTCGAAAATACAGCGACGAAATGTCTATTTCATGTTCGGATTGCATTGCATTATGATGAAATTCATCAGATGAATTTGTAAATAAGAAAGAAACACAAATTTCAATTTAAAAAAATATCAATTTTTTGGTTTATCTCTTTTAGTTTTCTGTGTATCCATCCGTGTTTGTGTCTAAACTTCGTAATAGTGATATTTAGAAACTTGTTTCCAATGTGTCATTTTCACATGAAATCATTTTTTTTTCTTTCCGCCTAAAATCACTTTAAATCAACACGGCAATAGTTTAATGTAATAATTGTTTAAACAAAGAATAAAATTAACCAGCATTTGTCGATCCAGGAAACCGATAACATGTAAACATTATATGAATGGAGGTGCGATTGACATGCACATCAACTGTGATGCACAAACAGTGCGACCCGACGAATTGAGACAGAGAAAATTTAAAGGAAATGACAACGCAACGCAAGCCAATATACTGCATGGCTTCTGTAAATTGACACTTTTAATTTGGTGCTTTGATAAATACAAAAAATGGAAAGAAAAAAAAAACAAATGCGCGCACGCACAATGTTTTTGATATATGCGTAAACCAGAGAGACAGTTGAAAAGTGGCTTTCACCGTTTTACACATCACTTAAAATCTAATTGCCGACATGATAATTACCAGAATATCTAAAAGCCGATGCTGATGCGATGTTTGAACGTTGACACAAACACGCGTGTGCCCGGTCGATTTGCATAAAAAGAAATCGATGGCTTAAAAACAGGCACTTATTTTTATTGATCATACAACAATTGAATGTTGAAAGCAAGAGATACAGTGAGAGCAAAAGAGTGTTGGAAAAAGAACAAGCCACCAAATTTTTTTTTAACGAAACGAACGCGTTTTTGTCGGCCCAGATTGTTGTTACTTTTTTGGAACATAATGAAGAAAAGAATTGACTTCTAGACGACCTTAGAGCTCATCAAAAGAATGAATGATCGAGAAAGAGAACAAATGAACGCACATAAAAAAAATGATTGAAATTTTCCGTAGAAAACGCAAGCAAAACAATTGAACCAAATTATAATCGAAATATTCTTTTGATTTGTTCGCATTCGTGAAGAAAATGCCCATTCGATGATTTTTTATTTGAAAATGAGAAAGCCAGACAAAACAAACAATTTATCTTTGAGAGTTGGAAGATAAGAGAATCGGCGTTCGCGTGTAGCGAAATGGATAATAATAGTGATCATCACTTGATATATTGAACAAAGCAAGCGCACAAAAGAGAGAGAGAACGAGCGAGAGAGAGAGAGAGAGTGAGAGTGAAAGAGACAAAAAAGAGGAAAATTCTTTTATACTTTTTGTAGATATAAGCACATGGCACAGTAAAAGTGCAACCATTCACGGTTAGAGAAAAATTAACTCACCTCGGCTTCATGGCATATAAGAAAATCCATTGCAAATGTGTTTGTGTTCTTGCCTGTAAACAATATGAATTGAGAGAAAGAAAAAGAGTAAAGCCTATACATACAAATTGATACAATGAACAAAAAAAAATTGTTTAATAAAATGGTTATTGTTTGACCCCTTGAACTGGAATACTTCGAATCAGTTTTTGTATTGTTGTTTATATTGCTATTCATTAAATAAACATAAATCGCGGCACGGAAAAGAGAGAGAGAGAGAAAATCTTCTGAAATGGAAAATAATCTCAAATTCTCATTTCGCCAATCACCATGTATAATACATTTGGCTAATCGAATGCGCTGAATATATTGTGGTTTGAGGTGCAGATATCCGGCTATCGTATCCAACTGAAGAAAAATCAATCTGCATCGATCGCTCTGAAAATGAACGCTTTTCTTGTGGAACTTGTTATTATTGAATGATCGTTTTGAATAAAAAAAACAGGATAAATCGAATGTGTTTTATATCGTTATTCGATTTATTCAAAAAGAGATTTGTCTGGATTAAAAACAAGCTTCAAGATTATCATTTTAAAAAGAAAGAAAGAACGAAGACCGCCCAAAATCAATGCAATGCAATAAATCGAAGAAATGAGAGAAAAATACATACCAGATACCACAATCGATCCACATGAATATAATTATACCATTGAACAGGTACAGCAAGATGAATTGTCGTGCATTACAAAGCATTCATACATGGGCAAATTAAGTGTACCGACAACTTAAATGTATGTACGTAAATTAAATTGATTGATACAGAACATATTGAGATAGAGTGAAAAAAAAAGCACATCGCATTTGAAATAAATGGCAAAGTGAGCACAAAAATGGCAAAATAGAAAAGAAAATGAATGACAGAAAGAAATACGCGGCCAATGTGTGAAGATACAAAAAGTACAAAAAGAAAAAAATTAAAAGAGAGAAAATGATATGTTGGCGCGTTGCGTACGAATGTGCATGCCGTGACCGAATTACTGCATTTCAATTTTTCTTGAATTCCACCGAGGAGAGAGAGAGAGAGAGAGAGAGAGAGAGAGAGAGAGAGAAAAGAAAAAAGTCGATCTCAAGAAAACGACAACAATCAGAAACATGTGACATTGATCGTTTTGTTTGGAAATGCTGTATGCAACGTTAGCGCGCGTCTGCTGCTAACGAATTTCCATTAGCCAAACGACACCAAAAGCACGATGATCTCTTCTGCGCGAACATCCATTTACTCATTCTCAAACCGTATTTAGTTTGCATGTTTGACAGAAGGAAATCAGTCTGACGTTTATCGCATATATGCATTTTTCCAAAGCCACCGAATAAGCTAAATCCAATTTGTCTGTTTGTTGTTTTCTTTTTTCTTTGTGTGATTTGCCATTTTATTTTTTATTTATTTCTGTACCGTGTCGCGGTAAAACTCTGATGTGCGCATTTGACTTGGTTCTCTTGCGTATATCTATGATAAAAGTCTCACGCTGAGTTTCGAGAGTATTAACCTGATTTTCTTCATTGAGTATTCGTACTATCGGGCGTTCCAATTATATTATAGATTTCTGTCTGATTGCGATTATGATTCAAGCATCCATAATTTGTCCGTTTCCTTTCAATTTTCTTTTCTTTCTGTTGCAGCACAGCACATTATTGTCTATCATATTATCTTTCCGTTGAATTGTGGAAAGTGTATGAGTAGAACAAAAGTTCGATCGGCCTAGAAACAACCAAATTCAATCGAGCACCAGTGACGGCAGCGGTGACAAAAAACAAATCGCAAACATTTTAAAAATCTTACATTGAAACAATTTATGTGAAGAACGATTCATCTAAGACGAATTTACAAAACGGACAGTCATACAGAGTTGCATTACAACTGTGCATTTCAACTCAAGCACACTTAACGGTAAGTTCATTTGTCAATTCATTTTAAGAATTGCAATTTTGTTTCTTCATTGCACAATAATTGAGCGATAGAAAGTATTAAAGGGAGAAGGAGAGAAGAGAGAGAAATGATATACCGTACATTTTTCTTCATTGATTTTGTCTCGAATTGGTGTTCTACACGATTTAATTTGAGCTCGAAAGCGGTGATATTCACTTGAATAATCCATTTTGGATCGAAATTGAATTGACCCCAGAGCAAAGACAACCTTTCGGCATCCACGTATTGTAGGCTAATGTGTACACGTATAATATTTCATTGGAATCTTTCATTGCATTTACACGTATATAATATAAATTTTCAAGTCGAGTGTACCAAGTGGATTATATATTGAAATATTACATTGTAGTTTGGTGAGCTCATCTGATGTCTTTGTTCTCACACACACACATACACTTGTCTTTGAATTTAGTTGTTGGCTGCCGTTTTTTCCCCCCTCAGATTTCAGTTCGAAGAGCAATCTGAACCACGCTCGAACGATAGATTACTTAATGCCAGTCAGAAGGAATAACAACACATCAGCACACAACAGTAACGAAGAAAAATTTGTGCGGTAAAACGGTGAAGCATATGTACACTAGGCAAATTTAATGTGGGAACTATAAAAACAACGAATTTTATAATATCGTAACGGTTAAATGTTTAAAATATGGAAGACAGAGGCGAAGAGAGAGAGTAAGAGAACATACGTTGATATTAAAAAAAAAAAAAAAAAAAAAACGGTGAATGTGGTTTGTGCTTATATATTTTATTTTTCTCTTGGAAAATGTATTTCATTCACGGTGTCGACAACAATGCACCAATGCAAACATAGAATCACATCGTTTCGATTCTCTTTTCGACTTGGAATCAACGACGAGAAAATTGAGCAATCACATCGCAAAATATATCTGAAACATATGATCTGATATTAGTTAGTATTATTATTATACATGTTCAGATTGCATCCAGATCGTTTTGCATTTGAACATTTTTACATATTTTATCGGTTGCACGAAATTTGAAACAAACGAGACAGAAAAAAAATCGATTTCACATTTACCTGCTGCTCTCGTAATCGATATCCAATAAATTTTGATAGACTAATGAATTACAGTTTCCCACTGATTTCTTGAAAGCGTATACAGACATCTGCATTGATTGCAACGGCATTTAGCTTGTCGGCAGTAACCATCTCAAAACTTGCACTTCCGATTAAATAAACAAAATAAAAACAACTCGCTTTTTTTACTCCTCACAACTGTGTGAACGCTGCTTTTTTTTCGTTCGTTAAGGTACGACGAACGGTTCACTTGCTGTTTTGCAATTCAGAAAAGAAAACCCAGTACAGTGAATCAAACGATTGCGAATTTAAAAAAAACGTACACACAAACTCAAGAATCAGAACAATACGCAACACCAACAATTGTACTTGTTAAGATTAATTGATGTTTTGTTTTCGGTTGAGATTGATGATGTTTTCAATTAAAGAATGAAAAAGTGAATAGGCTTTTTTTTATCTCTTCGATTCCTGCCGTAAAACGCACGAAGTGGAATTCCAGCGAACCGGTTCGTAGGCTCTGCTGTTGGGTTGTGAACTCATCACTCAAGTTGATTGATATAATTGAAATCCAAATAAATGCTGAATTAACCAGAACTATGGAGCGAGAAAAAAATCTTTTCCGTTTGACAGTCAGATGATGTTACTCTCTAACTCTTTCTGCTCATGGTAGGCTTCAATTGAATAACAAATAACGAGAATGTTTTATAACATAACCACAAACACCTTTGCACTTCATCAAAAAATTAGCCGTTATACCGGCATTCTTTTGTGACCAAAGTCAGTGAGCGTTATTTCATTTGATTAAATCGAATTTTTAAGTGTTTTTTTTTTTGCTATTCACCGTTTGTCATTTTTCAAAGGGCCAACAGACGCTGACACACCTCATACTTTCGCCAATGCTTGCCAATGTGGTAATTTTACATTTTATTCATCATAAATTAGTTAAACAATTTCCGTAGAATCCTTAAATTTTATGCAACACATAAACCGTGTAGCTTTCAAGCAATAATCGTAACATTTGTCAGTAATATTCATTAATGTGTGTGTGTGTATTTTTTTACCATTTAAATATTTATTCAAATAATGTTAGTGTGCTCTCTGCAAAAGAGCCATCCGTTTATTTAATTTATGGTTTCTACACGACCGAATTGTAAATGCACCGAAGTAAGATTTTAATGAAACAAAAAACAAAAATGCAACAATAGAATTTATACATATATTTCCAGACGCTGCTGAATTTTCTCATTTAATCGAATTACACATCGAGTGCACAATCGAAAGGGCCAGAGAGAGAGAGAAAGAGACTATAAAGTTTTACTCTCGCCGTCAGGCAGATTACATCAAATAAAAGTCGTTAATTGTATACATGGATTCTTTTTTTTTTGTTGAGATGTTGTCTTTGCAAATGACACTGTACCAATGAATACACAATGCACTATTAACACATCCAATAACTTTGAAGTACCCTTTTAAAAAGAATATAGCGAGAGAAGAGATGAAAAACATACTTGTAACGTGGTTGTACTTTGATTTGCTCATAAAACCGTTCATATTTTATTATGTTTATGCCATCGAACGGTATACGAAATGTATACACAATGCGAAATGATCACTTTGCGTTGACTCTATATAGCGCGCACATACAACCAAATCAATCTGACGATGCCCTGCGAATCATTCAATTTAATTTGTTCGATTTCCGCCTTTTCCCTTTAAATTTCGTTTTCTTTTTATCTCGCATAGCGTCACGCATTTTTAACAATGATTTATCTTGTTCCAAATTAAACGCACCGCAGTTGACTGAGGCTCAGTGACTGAGCTTGCAATTCATCAAATCACAAAAAAATGAGAAAATTTTTCGAATGAATTTTTATTATGATTGCACAAAGTGTGTTCGAATTGCTGTTGAATTGTTATATTTATTGGCCTTATGATTTTATGATCACATTTCGGTTGCATATTGTATTGTTTAATATTTATTTAGAGCAAACAATCTAGGCTTTCGATTTTATTTTTTATTTTTTTTCGGCAATCGGTCCACTCACAATTGATTTCGGCTTGAGAAAATTCAATGGTAAACGGAGCAAATCGATATTTGCTTGAATTGAAATTCGCTGTGATCAAGTTTAAAATTAAATATTCATAAAATACGATTGATGGCGATTGTCGTAATCGCGCTGCGCCAATAAAAGTTATTGTAATGAATAAAATAAGTTACGTTATGTTCACATATATATAAGTCAATTTAATTTACAAGAGAACGCACATTTTTACAAGTTCAATCGATACACGTCGATTGTTTCTGGAATCGAATTTTTCGTTCGAGGGCGGCGTTTCCACACATGCTGTGTACCAAAATCATTCTCTTCAATCTATATGTGAACGTCCAACTGTGTGTTCACGAAATTATTCCATTTTCGATTCGAATAATATCATTTTTGCGCACTTGAAATCGATTGAAATCGTTGAATTAGGCTTAGATGCCGAAATATATATTGTTGGTTTTGTTTGTCTGTTTTTTTTTTTTTGTAAAATTGCTCACATACAATTCGTGCATTCACATTTTTGCCGCATTCATGACTGTTCAATGTCATTTTATCTGATTTCAGTTAGAGTGCGATAGAGAACTTTTCAAAATCACAAAATCATTTCATATTTTTCATTCAATTTCGGCATTTAATCAAACGATTAATGATGGACCGAAAGCGGTTGCGGTTATAAAATGCAAAATAAAAAAGAATGTTTGAATGAAAATCCCAACAATTACATAAAATAAAAAATTCCTGGTCACATTCATTACATTCTTGAACATGTCACCACATTTATGGACACAAACTAATTTATCGTATCCCATTTCCTTTTTATCTTTCTCACTCGCAAAACGAACGAATGTGTATTCAAGCGCACATGAAAATTGCATAAGAATGGATGAACACGCAGCACCGAATATCGATCACTAAATACATGCATGCCATACAAACCGATCCGATTACTAATTGAATGATTTGTGGTTTTTGTAGTTTTCAAAATTCCTAAATGGTTAATTTGCTTACGAAATGCACCTACAATATCATGCGAAGTGAATCAAAAAACAGATAATCGAAATAACGTTTTATTCGATATGTTTATGAATTATGAATTCCATATCGCATCGAATTTATGTTTGAAATTTGTCAGTTTATGGCCCACAAAAATCTATGATGTGGCTTTTCGAAATTCAATCGACTTTTGCGCAAAGTGAATGGTTTTTTATGTGTAATCCACGATTGATCCGCATTTGGTTCGAATTGAATTTCAAAGTGAATACACCTTAGCGAACATTTATGAACATAAAGAAAAAAAAAAATAAGGAAAAATTCCTGGTTGCAAAATCGCACCCATATGCTTGTCAAGTATTAAGGCATAAACATCAATGAGATAAATAGAATCCGTTGTAAATCGATTCCATGAAAAGTATAAATTGCTTAATTCGGTTCATTCAAATTGCTCAAGAACGAACAAAAATACATTCATAAATTTCGACAAATGATGAACAAAACGTTTAGTCTTTTAATGCAACGAAGTTATTGCAGCTGTTTTCTCCTTAATCGAATTCTCCAAAGTAAGCGAACTATGCTCAACGCACACCAAGCTACAAAACCAAAAACAAAAACACTTACACAAGTATTTCGTTATTTATGGTCGACACTCTTTTCTTCATTTTTTCGCAATTTGATTCATATGCAAATCCGGTCACAGCAAAACCATTTGCTATTCATTGAATTCTTCACTTTTTTTTCGGCTTAATTTTTGTTTTGTGTAAAGTGTACTGTGTTTTCATATTTGTCACTCAATAAGCGCCAATAATCGTGTCTCCATCCGCATTACTTACACTCACAAAACACACACACACACACACACATTTGCATAAGTGCGACGTTTTGAGCACACACTCATATTAAATGGACGTAAGTTAAAAATTATATCTCTAGTGCAATAAAATTCGTGGCTATTCCCCATTTTGCTTTTGAAAAATGTTATTTATTTATTTATTTAGCTTTCGCTCTTTTTATAGTACATAATGTTCAATGTTATGAGTGTAAACAACAATATTCCTATATGCAAATCATGCAGATATTGAAATTAGAAGCGATCATGCGACTCTCCGAACGAAAAATGTTTAAAAAATGAAAATGAAGACATAAGTGAAAAATCATTTTTCCTGATGAGTAATATGCTATTTAGTTTGGTTGGCTTTTTCAGATGTATGCAGCGTGCATCATGTATTCAATGTATAGGAGCGTCTACCGTATCCCTCATTTCGCCAAATCATCCGACTCACTGCCTATATACGAACTGTGACGATGGAATGTGTTCTCCTTCACTACGCGGTTATAACATGTAATTTTCGAACGAGAATGTCAAAAAATATTAATTGAAAAATTGAAAACAAAAACATTGCGGTTCAAAATAAACAAAAATCCCATCAGACAGATGATACAGTTATTTTTAGATGAACACGTAGTCCATATATAAGATACTCCATCGAGAAAAGAAAAAAAGTGGCAAGAATGTGCATGAAATTTATTCATCAACGATGCAAACGATCTCTCTGTCGCTCTTTCTCTCTCTCACTCTCTTTCTTTCGTCGATTCAAAGAAATAGCTTCTGGAATTTGTAATCTCTACACAAATTTTTTGTGGTTTTGAAATCGATTTTAGAAACGCATATAATGTTGTTTGTCTCGACTGCACACCTCTGTCCGTACTAATTAAAACAATAACGAATACTCATCTCATTTTATGAGCATACACCACAATTTCAATAATGGGATCCGCAGAGATCATCCGCTTAAGGAATTTAAATCACACGAACAGAGTGTTGAGAAAATAATAACAATAATCATCGTCAAACGAAACCATGTACACCTTTGTCAAGAATTTTTATTGAAAAATCTAATAATTGCCGAAATAAACGCAGAAAAAGAAAGGCACACATAATTTAAGCCTACCAAAAACGAAACGTCTGAGTAAAAGACAAAAAAAAAACATTTGAGATGAGAACATTTTTTTGTCGACATCCATATTGAAATGGTTCATAAATAACGTAAATTTGCTGAATACGAATGCATAGCAACACGCATATGTATAAGAAATTCTATTGACTTGTGAATGAGTCTTTTTTTCGTCTTCTGTTTTGTGTCCACTTTTTGTGGGCAAGTACTTACGCTTCCAAATGGTTCTAATGGCAGAATAGGAAAAAAACGTAGAGAAAGAATGAAAAAAAAAAAAACAATTGAGCGAAAGAGAAAAAACAAACCCTTCGTATCTGTTTAATTGAACGCGTCAAGAGACGTAGAAAAACAGCAACGATCACAAATCTCAACACTCGGAATGATGTATGTGCTTCGCACTAGCCAATACGCACAAACTCACATATTAAAGTTAATGACCTTTATATTCATGATATAACAATAATTACAAATAATAAGCGTGGAGCTAAATTTATTTAGTTTTTCTTTCTTTTATTTGCCATTGCATTCACTCATTCATTTTATATGCGCGGTTACAACGCTCACCGACAAAAACAACAACAAAAGCAAAAGAAATATTACGAACGTTGAAACCGAATTGAATACACACAAAAAAATACAGTGACATCAAGCAGGCAAACAGCCTGCAGATGAAAAAAATGAACATTAAAATACATGAGACGCACTTAAAGTAACCTTAAGTAGACGCTATCAAATTGACGCACAGGTTTTAATCAGATTATTTGGTGAATTTGTTCTAAAGAAAATCAACATTTTATGTGACAACAATTGCAAACTTATCAATGCTACATCGTGGCGATAACAAATATTGAGTTTGTGTTTGAACAAAGACACACCGTGTGTTTACCGTTACAGAATTATTTTGCCCTTCTACTTCTTTAGTGACTTCATCTTCTTGCTTGATGATTTTGTTGCTAGAAAAAAGCATGCCGTTTTTATGTTGTTCGCTCTTTGTATGCTGTACAAGTACGTGTACTCTCAAATTGATTCAAATGGGAAAAAATAATCACCATCATTATGTGTTGCTATCGCACGACAAGAAGAACTATTCAAAATCAACACATTCTGACTGAGGGATCAAGTTGTTAGACGATGTACGATTAAAAAGAACGCTAAACGCGAACAAAACAATCGAACGGCATGACATGTTAGTATTGTTTTGTTGTTCATTTTATTGAGGCACTGGGTCATTTATTGATCTAAAAGCAACCGCCGAAAACAAAAACGATTAATGTATAATTTGACAAATAACAATACTTGTGTTATCATCGATCTTGTGTTACCTATAAATTGGCATAAAATGACAACGACACAAACACAAGAGAATGAAAGAAAAGTCTTGTCATTGTTGTAATTTATTGTGATCTTTTACACGAGAAATTCTCTTTTTTTTACGAAAATTGGTTCTATATAGAAATAATGCGGATGTATTGTTGAATAAACGAAAAGTCACATTTGAATTGATGGTTTAGTAAAAAAAATCATTGGGCTCAGCGGAGAATCGAACCCCGGGCCTCTCGCACGTTCGTGTATTTTTGTACACCCGAAGCGAGAATCATACCACTAGACCACTGAGCCGCTTATTTGACACCAATCAAATAATCGCCATTTTGGAACGGCGAATGCGCGTGAACTAAGCGATAAGCAAGTCACAAAAAAAAAACAATTTGTGTGCCATATCGTATTAAATGCTGCGCACGATATATCCGATGTCAATTGCCAGTGGCAAAACACGACACCGCAAAATGAAATCGCATTTGCTCAGCGAATAATCGAATTGTTCACATTTCTTTGACATTTAAAAATCGCAAAGAATATGATGAGAAATGTGGTGGAGAGAGCAAAAGAGACAGAGAAAATAACAACAAATCAGAAAATGAAACAATTTTTTTTCGCTTCGGATTAATTATTTTAAAAAATTATTGTATCCACCATTGTGCTGACTCGCAATGAAATGAAATTCTCAATACTTGACATTCTATTATATATGTGTGTGTGTGTGTTTGTGTCCGTATCAAATTTGTATTATTTTCTGCGTCCAAAACGGATTTCAGTCGCTTGAGAAAACACAGTTTAATTGGATTGAAATTTCATTTTTCGAAGCTCCGTTCTGATTTAGATCTTTTAGTTTGTTTGTTTTTATTTCGGGTTTGCTCTATAATTTACGGTACGGAGAAAATTTTTGACAAACGCTTTATCGTGTGTATGTGGTGTATTACATAGATATATGTGAGTGTGTCTCTTTCATTCGTTGATGATCGTGTGAAAGAAAATCAATACAATATTTGGTCAGGGCAGTGATCACAATGATGTGCGAAAGTTACGGCCGCCGCAAAGAGATTGTTTTATCACTCTGATGGTTGTCATACTCTTTATTCGCTTGTTTTTACCATTTCGAAAGAGTCGGTTGTTTTTTTTTATTCGCGCAAATTATCCACATCAAAATTGAGTCAACTAACGACTGACGAAAAATCAAAGTATAATAACAAACCCAACGAAAAAAAAACGATTTTTTCTGAAATAATTTTTTTTTATAAATGGTTCGACGGTATTATTATACAATTATTACTTTTCTTCTCCATTAACGCACCACGTCAATGCAAAACTGTAATTAGCCATTCGGAAAAAAGAAACACAAATCTATGATATAACTCTCTTTCTCGGCTAGATGAAATGGTGGCGCATGGTAGTTCAGAGAGCGAGAAAAGATAAATGGCTGGCGGAATAATTAAGCGCTCAAGAAGAACTGTCAATTATAATATAAGTAATCGCAACAAATATCGGCAAATATAATCTGGTGCCCTGTATACGCAGCATAAACAATAATACACACAGTGAGACAGTTGTATGAAAAAGAAAGATGTCATGAGGAAACCACATTTCAAATGGCTTAATTAAATTACGGAAAAAAAAATGTGAAAAGAAAATTTGTGAAATCTGCTCAGAAACTGAAGCGAAATGATACATACATGAATGTTTTGAATATCAACGTTGCGCAGAGAGAGAGAGAGAGAGAGAGAGAGAGAGAGAAAGAAAGAAAGAGAGATGTTTAAAGCGAAAACCAAACAAATCTTGATGAGCATTTATTTGTGCAGAGAGAGAAAAATATCGAAAACAAACAATCGCATCAGCTAAAACGTAATCTACGTTGTGTATGTATGCTAAAACATTAGGTACATCTTTGGTAGCGCAATGAGAATGCGAATCAACCATACAATAAACTCATTGAAATTAAACGCAACACACAACTGAATTGTTCATTGTATTGTGTTTCTCACCCATAATTATGCGTGTGTTTTGTTTCTTTAAAAACAAAAATTCCTGTGCCAATTTTCGCTTTTCCCATTGACTTAGTCGAATTCATATGATCGATCCAAACGTTTATGGTTTATTTTTTTTAAACTATTTTTCTCGGTTCATCCACCTGCTTTGCCAAATTACAAAATGAAAAACAAAACAATTTACAATTTTCTCTTTTATTTTGTGACAAATCAAAGAAATAAAGAAGTGAAAATTTATCTAAAAACCAACGACTGATCATTTCTTATTGAAGAACGCCTTCCCGTTGTTTTTCTGCTTTGTTATTTATGCAGAAATTCTCAGCATTCGACTAAAATTCAATATGAACTTTCCACAAGACTCAATCAATCACCTGTAAAGGGCCGGAATTGGCGAACTAAATTTATCGTGCATGTTTTAAAGTGTATCATTTTGCTGAAGGCACAATTCGTTCAATAGATGAACACAAAAAAAGAGAGAATTGAAAAATGGCTACACTTTTGCTTTTGGTTCAAACGAAAGAATGAAATGAATCAAAATTGTTGTTATGATATTTTTTTTCGATGGATTATTTCATCGTTTTATGGTGCTTGCAATTCTTTTGTATATACGGCCTTTGCTTGATTTTGATCTACATTCATGTTGTTGTTATTACACACCTCACAGTTATAGTTGGCCTAGCCAAAATGGCTTCTCTCTCGAACGACGTATAAACTATTAATAATTCGTTTTAGCTAATTTTTTTGTTTTTTTTTTTCTTATATTCAGGCGATTTGTTTTTTTATTGATTTCACTCGTTTATTTGTGTGTCTTTTTTATCTCTGACCACTTTGGTTCGCGGCATTATTCTGATCGATTCGGTGTTTGATCCGAATTTTTTTCTGTTTCTCTCAATCTCTCGCTTTTTCTTTGATATTTTACTTGAAACAAACATTTTTTTTTTCACCTATATATCTTGACTCATTATAATTGTTTTCAAAACATATTTTCATCGTAACATTTAATTGGTGAAAATGCCAAATCGAAAGAAAACATCTACTGCATAACTTTGGCATTATACGGTCACAAAAAAAACTTTTTTTTCGCTGGCTATTTTTGATATTTTCATCGATTGCTTTAGCGCGATATAAATCCAAAAAAAAAAAAAATTGAAAAATACAAATTCTCGATTTTAGCCTTGTTCGTTTGCTCGCCGATTACATAAAGAAACTCAGACACCAAAATGATAATTATGTAGGCGAGAGCATAAAAGAGACCAATTGCAGGCGATCGAGTTTCTTGAGTGTTGGTTGCGCCGTAAAATTCTGATCGTATTATCATAGATTAGTAAAAATATCGCATCGCTTTATTTCCAGAGTCATAATGTCATCTCAATGTGTTACGTACGAAATATCGGACCTTTTTCAGTGCTCTTTGTATTCGACGCACCAGCAAAATTTAATGTGATTTCACATTTGATGCCATTTGCCTGGGAATATGCAATCAATTACCAAATTCATTCAATCCATCATTGGAATCATTTCGTCAGATTTATGCTCAATTCCATTTAGCGTGCCCATTAATGGCGCATATGTGTGTAAATTGGATGTGTGCCATTTGAATTATTTCTTTGTGGGGCCTGATGAAAATTTGTTGTTTTTCACAGTGTAGAAACGCAAATTGAATGAACACACATGGTAGCTTCGACTTCATATTTCACATGTAAATCACGTGGAATTCTTTTTTTTCCCTTTCTCATTTAAATTCAACAAATCGTTTTACGATACCAATTACGGCATAATAAAATGATTATCATAGACAAAAGGATGGCCATATATTATGCCAATTTAAGGTCTTTTTTTCTCACTAATTTCCGCATTTAATTATTTTTTATTCAACTTTGTTTCGGACGCACACAATTATACACATTAATAAATTAGCGAAATAATAGAGTATTTTTATCCTCGACACAAACAGTTCAAATTGAGTCACTGAGATAATTAGCAAATTGAATGAATATTTTCATGTCAACTCAAAACTGCACTTTTCCTATTGTTCCACTGATCTGATGGGAATCGACTTGAGCGAAATAAATTTAAAAAAAAAACAAACAACAAATTTCTTAATGTAAAATCAACTAGATTTCACATTGAATAAAACCATAAGTACTATCAATTGCTATCATTTCTATCGTTGAACAATTGACATAGGCGGGTTATCTTCACAAGTTCGCACAAAAATAAAATGATAATACCCACCGGTCAAAATGAATGGCAGTTAACAAAAAAAAGACCAATCCAGCGATTCCATTTATATTCACAATTAATTGCTTCGCCTTCACATGTGTGGATTGTAATTGTTTTTTGTTTTAACTAAAATCAGAGAGCAATGAAAATGACTTCATTTTTATTGTGGCAAGACAATGATAGAATTGAAATAGTCGTTTCGCTGGAATGGATATTTCACAAAGATAACAATGCATAAACAACATCAACGATCTAGACAAAATATAAGGTGAACGAATTTTTTTTTTCTTTCGCAAAGATTGAAATGAACGGCATTATGTAAAATAAACATATATTTCAAACAAAGATAAGCACTTTGTGTTACTGCACTAGATACAATGGAAGATGAGAGAGACAGAAAAACACAAAAAAAAGTTTAAAGGGAAATTGATGCAATACAATGTGGTATTGCGGTTTGTATCCGGTCAACGAATTGGATTGTTTTAAAAAATAACAATACACACCGATGAAATATACACGAAAAATGTTTTTTTGTTTTTGGGCATATATGCGATGTACCACCAACGAGCACAGTGAATGCAGATGCAGAAGGGAACCAAAATCGCAGTGAAAAAGTATCAATCGTTGCAGTTATATGAAAAGAGAAATGAAAATGCTATTATCAATGTAAAAAATCAGTTTGTGAAAAGAAGCGGCACTTGCAGATCTCTTTTCAATCACATGATTTGTCGAAAGCAACTAGATTGTTGCAGAGTAGCATTTTCCGTTCACACTGAGAGAGGAAGAGAGAGAAAAAAAACTGCCTATGAAGTGAGAGCAAAGACAAATGACAAACTTGAAAAAGGGAATGCTCCATTGAGCTTTGAGCATGAGAAAGAACTTAATTAAAATATGATTGTGTATTGTTATTGTTTCGACTGTTCATTCCCCTCTCCCTTTCCTCTTCATTCATTTCTTGTCTTTATTCAATCAAATTTATAATTTCGTTTGCATCAATAACAAACTGTAAAGTTACACAGAAGGATGATGATGATGATGATGATGATCAAGAATGATCCCCGATGACTTGACATT